CCCCCCCCAAGGGCTGACAGCGTGGGGGAAAGGGGGGGGGGGGGTCTGAAACGCGCCGCGCTGGCCGCCGGGCAAGTGCCAGGAGATGGATGAGCCTCTCACCGGATGGCTCTTTTTTCCATAATTCCCTGGCTCATTCCCACGCCCGGGAGCCGGGGGCTCTCCCTGCCTGGTCCCCTGGGGCGGGTGCCTCTCTCTCCCCCACACTGTATGGGCTGAACCCGGGGGGCAATTCTCACAGATCCCCGGGGGGAGTGCGTGTGGGGGGGTAAAACGGTGCTGGGGTGGTGGGAACGTGTTTGGGGGAGCCCAGAGGGCCATGATGGATGGAGGGGGGGTTCACATGCCAGGCTTGACCCCTGTGTGTGAAGCTGAATTGGCCACGAGGGGTTTGGAGCTCCTGGGATGGGTTGCTGGAAAAAAGCGAGGCGTGGATGGTGGCTCCTGGTGTGGTTTGTCTCTCTGGAGACCTGCTGGAAATCTTGGCCCCCCCTTACTGGGAAGCTCGTAGGGAGGGCAACCCATGGGGAAGGGTGGGGAAAGGTCTGGCAGCGATTCCAAGAGCCTTCTTGGGCTTTCAGAGAGTGCGATGGAGCCACCACAAGCTGCCCGTGGAGCAGCAGGATGGGGAAGTGTCCCACCCCGCTCCACAAACCTCTGTCCCACCATCCAGGATGGATGCAGGGGCTGAGCCAGAGAAGGGCTGGGCTGCTCCCACCTGGTGTCATCCATTCCTTCTCCCCTGTTCCCTTTAAATTAAAAAATGGCATCTTTTTTTTTGGCTGTGCTGCCAAGGAAACAGAGATGGGGAGCCCTGTAAGACCCCGGTTGAGGTCCCTCCATGTTTGCCAGTGCAGCTTCCCCACGTTGCAGCTCGTGCTCCCACGTTTTGCTGCCTGGTGGCTTTGAGGACACCAGGATGGGGCCACCATGGCCAGCAGAAGCTCCTCACGAGGCAGCTGTCAAGGGGCTTCGGGGGCAGCTTTGGCTGGTTCTTTTGGCCGGATCCAGGTTGGCGAGACCCGCCGCCGGGGAGGTTCACTCATCAAAAGCCTTTTGCACCTCCAGAGAGACGCTGCTCCCCGGGGATTTTTAAGGAGGTGCCGACTGGGCCGGCTCGTTTGGGTGCCGGTGGGAGGCTGAGGCTAACACAGTCATGCTCACACAGCTTCCTTCCTGACCCAGTAAACCCAGTCAGACCTGACCGGGGCTCCCTCGCTGGCTTTTCTGCGCGCTCACGCACGCCTCTGCCTCCCTGCTGCTGCTTTCCTGGCGGCCCCCGGGGACCAGCAAACCCGTCCTGCCGGCGGGACCCGGTGTCTGGGTCCAGCTCTCCCAGCTCCGTGCTGGGAGCCGTGGCTTGATCCCACAGGAGCACCCGTAGCCAGCGGTGGGAAGGTGGGCTTTGCCCCCCGCCTCCATGGAGGTCGCCCGTCGGGGTTAGAGCGGCTGGTTCCTGGCTGTGCCCTCAGCCCCACGGCTGGATCCTGCCTCCATTGCCCTTTTCCAAGGGCTGGGGTGGGAGCTGGGGCTGGATTTTGGGTCCTGCGTTGGTCCCCCCCCCGCGCTGGGAAGTAGGTGAGGTGCGGAGGGGGCTTGGGAGCACGCTCCTAGGGATGGGATGGGATGGGGTGGGATGGGATGGGATGGGCTTTTCTGTGCAGTTTTTACTCTTAAACCCCAGGTTCCGCTGGAGCTGCTGCTGCTTTTCAGCCTCTTCCTCTCCCCCTTTTGTCTCCCTCCACTCGAGAAAACTCTGGGGCGTTTCCCCGTGTTTTCTCCTGGCTTTTCCCTGTTTCCCATGGAAGTGCTGGGCTTGAGCAATCCGGCTGCCCCCAGACTGATCCGTGGGTCCCATGGACCCACCTCTGTCTCCCACACCAGCCCTCGCCTTCTCCTGGGGCTTTGAACCCTGCCGAGGGGGAAACAATGGGTTTGGGGGGTTTAGTGTGGCTGCAGCCCGAGCTGACGATGTGAGATGGTTTCAGTTCCTTCTTGCCCTTTCTCCCCGACTCTAGGTATGAAAAATGAATAATAATAATTAAAAAAAAAAAAAGGAGAAGCTCGGAGCAGCCCTTCCCTTTGAGTAAAATATTAACTAACTCCTAGGGCTAACTGATTAAATGGCTTTTGGGACAAAGTTACATCTGATCTTGGTCAAAGGAGCCTTTGGAAATGGGTGTAGCTGCTCCCTCGGACTAAGCAGAGGAGCCCAGTCCCAGTGGCCGGGGAGGCTGCTCTGCCCCTGCACAGGAGCCCTGCGCAGCCCTACAGCTTAATTTTCTTATTTTTATTCCCCGCCACCCCTCCTGTGCTGGTGCTGGTTAAATGTTAGCCGGGGCTGGCTCACGGCGTGGTGCTTCCATCCCTGCCCGGCTGCTCTCCTGGCTCCAAACCCCGTCGTGCCCACAGCCAGGCAGGAGGCAAAGTTCAGGGCTTGTTTGTTCTGGGGGGGGGGGGGGAGCCCACAGGGCTGTTACTCATTTATAAGAGATCGTTGTTTGCCGCGGCGTCACAAGAAGCTTTTCCCC